CGCACTCAGCAGAATTAACAGCAGCAGCAGCAGCAGTAGTGGCAGCGTGGGGGCAGTTTTCATCAGTTTCATTCTAAAGGTAAATGTGTGTGTGTGTGCGCGTGTGTGTGCGTGTGTGTGTGTGTGCGCGTGTGTGTGTGGCGGGTGTGCGTGTGTGTGTGGCGGGTGTGTGTGTGAGTATGTGTAGGGTGACCTTAATATCTTTAACATAAAAGGGGGCCGGAAATAACATTTTTTCGGTACTACTTTATAACCTCAGTGAATATATGTTTTCCGATGGTCTTTGGCGTAAAAGTATCGTTTGACCCACAAAAAGGTCGCGACCCACACGTTGAGAACCACTGGTCTCATATAATGTAGGTTCTTTTCTCGAGTTAAAACCTAGACTTTTATACAACAGAACAACTCGCGTTTTTATGGGGAAGTCGGGGTGACCGACGGGACAGCAGGGTCACGTGTAAAAAGGGTCAGTCCCGGTGAAAACACGAGTATGGTCACCGTAGGTATGAGTGTGTGTGTGAATGTGTGCTTTCTTGAATCTTCCATCGCTCTTATGTTTTCTCTTGTATTTAGTTTACAGTCACCTGACATTACTTTTTTAGGCTGTAAGAAATCCTTGTAATAATCTAGAGTAATACCTCCACATCAACTTCATCTACTCCAGCCAATGGTTTTCATAATAACGAGATGTCTAGCACTAATTTCTAACAATAACCGATTTTTAACATCTGTAGCTCTTTTATCGCACAATTACTGTCATTGCCAGTTGGTAATGACGTTTTCTAATATGAAGCCATTACCAAAAATGCCAGTAAAAGTAAGCAGCTAAAAGCCTCTCTCTCCACTCTCGACACTTCTGGTATCAAGTGCTAGACCTATATTTTCATGGAAACACGGGTACACGATGTGCAATGTTTCCTTATTTCCCATCACATTACCAGATACCCATATTATTTTAGGTTTACCTAAAAGATAACGTCAGATCTAAAAAAATCTTGAAAAATCAGTTTTGAAAACAATCCACCGAAGAGGATTTGAACCCTTTATCTCCGGATCAGCAGACTAGCGTCTAGTCCCAAAATATTAAGCACAAACTTTCATGAATACACATGGAAAGACGATGCATTCTGAAGACATTTTACATGGCATTTGTGTTGCCTGATGGGTCATTGAATAGCAGCAGATAATGCATCTCACAAGCGTTCTAAAACTTTTGCGTGCAGTTAATCATATGAAAATGTATCTATTGGCTTAAAAGAAACTTTTTTTTAAAAATTAATCTGACGGTTGTACGTAAAAAGGAGGATTGGGTCATAAACAGTATCATGTCCGGAATGCTTGGGCATTTTCATCTTCTTTTTCTTCAGCATTCTGAGCCCTTGAGGTTCATTGCTGCAGATATCACCCGCCTCCATTCATCTCTCTGGTTTGCCTTCTCTTTCCAGTTGGTGACACCAAGTGTTTGTAGGTCTGTCTGAATATTATCTCTCCATCGTCTTTTGGTCTGCCTTGGTCTACGGCCATTCATCCCCCACGGATATACAGTTTTTACTTCTCTGCCATCTGAACTTCTTTTAGTATGCCCCAACCATTTCAGTCTAGTAGATTTCATGATGCCAGTGGTGGTTTCAACAGATTATGAATTTTGTTGTTGCTTCTCAATCTCCATTCACCGCTGATTGCATCTTTGATTGGTCCAAAGATTCGTCGTAAGATTCTGTTTTCGAAAACCTGTAATAAGGCTTCATTTCTTTCAGTTATGCTCTAAGTTTCAGAGCCATGTGAAACCACTGGTCTTATCAATGTTTGATATATTTTGATCTTGGTGTTGTGAGACAGACACTTTGACTTTAGCAGATGTTGAAGGGCATAGTATACTTTATTTCCAGATTGTATTCTAGATTGTATTTCTACTCCAGCATGTTGGAGCAGATGAAGTTTGCACCCAAGTACTTATACGTTTCCGTTCGTTTGATTTTGGACATTTTGGCCTAAACATCATGGTGGCGTGGAGAGATCATTGATGGAAAAAGGGGGGGGGGGTGTAAAGTTTACAGAAGACGAGGAGGTAGGCAGGCCTCTGCAGAGGTGGATACACAATATTGTAGCTGCATTTAATATGAAGGCACATGGGACTTCAGCAGGCCAGAGAAAAAAAGACTTTCAGGCGTGCTGTAAGGAAAGCGGCTATCTATAAATGGCCTGTTGAATGATAACTATGTACATTAAAACTGCACACAAAAGGATAGTTCAAAAACAAAAATCGTTAAAAAAAATTGTTCTTTAACATGTTACGTTACGATATGTTATGTTATCACACTCGACGTCTTTGCACATTAGGCATTTCCATGTTCGCTCAATCCTCTAATACAACAGCTTATCTAATTTACGTTTACTGATTGTTCCCATGAGGAGTTAATATAATATCTCCTGTCTTTATCTCGAAGACGGTATAGACTCTATTCACCAAGCTTAACTCCTCGGTCACGCAGTCATGTTAGCGTCAGAGTCTCGCCAATTTCCCCCCACCCCCACACCCGCTTATTTTCAGCCTAGTCCGTAAAGCATTGATGATTTGGGCGCTGTGCATGTTTTTTCCCATTTGCATTGGTGTATTACTTGTCAGCTCGTCAGCTCTTTCATTGCCGTTTTCTTCTGCCTGCCTATGTGTGTAGATTCAGATGATGGACGTTAACTACGACATCCGAAAACATTCTACACATTTGGAACGTGAACTGCTTTTAGCGATTTTCTGAAGCATGTTCATGGTGTCTAAAACGATTACCTCGGAAGCGGCCTCTTGTTTTGCTACCCGTGCGAGTGCTCTGGAAGTAGCAGTGATCTCCATGGTCATGCTCGACGTAGTTGTCTGGTAAGCGCCGCTGTTCTCTTTTATTGTTTTCCCCATCCTTTGCGCTGTATATGCCCTTGGTGATCTTGACCCACGCTTCACGAACCCATCAGTATAAATAATGAGGTCTTCTGGGCGTGTATGCTGATCAGTCAGTGCCCTAATCTTGCCATCTACGGTAGCAGGTATTTTAATCCTGTATGCTTTCACCTGTGACACTTTATGTCTGGTGGCCATCATAGGTAAACGGAGGACATACCGCATGGCGTGGCACGAGGTGTCCTTTGTGCAGCCAAGGATGAGTCTCCTGGCCTCGTTTTGTACCCGGTCCATTCTTGCTAGCTGGGTTCTGCTAGAATCCATCCTGTCTCTATCTTTTTGAGCATGATCATGGAAATCACCCAAAAAGCACGCGTGGGAAATACTGCTGTGTCTCTAGCCACATCATTGCTTTTGTTACCGCCATCACTCCATAGTCAGACTACTTGTAGTCAAGGCAAAACCCCCGCTGTCTTCTTTTACAGTTTTCCTTTCAACCTTTACCGTGAAAACTCATACACTTTGTAAGTGTACTTTGCTTTTTACAATACAGGAGCCAAAGTCAGTTATAAAACAATCTGGCTCGATGTGTGGAGTCTAGTCTAAAACATTAGGACCAGAAGGTGTTATCTAGCCCTACCATAGCTTCCAATATAAAATATTGATTTATACAAATGAAATAAAATAAATATTGTTTCACCTACAGCGGCGTTAGGTCATCAGCACGACAGTTATGACTACCAGAGCCTGTTGTTTTTGACAGAATACCCTAATATAAAGACTGAGAACTCTCTCGCCAACACGGAAGAAGGAATGACATTTGTTGAGGACACGTACCATCCTCACCACCCATGTAAGTAATTGTTTTCTAGCATGGAAAGTGTCAAAGTCATAATGTGTATGATATCCATAAGTACAATAAGTACATCACAACATTTTTATATGCACCCAAAAGCATATATTCATCAGTGATTTCGTCAGCTTTAGAAGAGTGCATATATCAAAAGGCCCGAAACGCCTGGCTGCCCGCGGGCTGCATGTGGCCCTTTGCAAGCACATTTGCATCCCGCATAAAGTAAATATTCTGCAATAATTTTTGTTTAATGAAATTACTCTGATTAGTCGTTTGTGGCCATTAACATGACAGCTTTGACCCGTATGACACCCGGGAGACCTTCAGTGTGACCTGCCTTCTGTAAAGGACATGTTATTTCAAGACGATGGTGGGTGGTGAAGATCTTCATTGCTATTACAATTATTCTAAAAGTAAAGTAAAGGATCCTTTTCGACGCCATCGAGCGTAGTGGGTATATAGGGCAAGACCTAAATTTTTTTTTTATTCAAACGGCCCTTAGTAGGTAATGTAGTCAGCATCATTTTTTTTTTTTTTTTTGAGGGAACCTATTTTGTAGAGGCTGGTTTTGTAGAAGGTCAAAATGGGGTCGTATTGGGATTGGGCGGTGAGATGTTTATTTATGGATACCACTTCTTCTGGTTTTCTTCATTTTTAACCCTGTACTATCTACGGGAAATCAACAAGAGACGGAGTTACCAATGAAGAATTCAGAACAATTGTAGAACCGTACAGGTGAATGATTTCACAAAACATCAAAGAACCACATAGTTTGGCCATCTGGTCAGAACGGGGGAAAAACCAGCCTGTAGCTAGAGTGTACAACATGAGAACAGCAGGCTACAAGGCAAGAGGCCAATCAAGAAAGCTTTGGATTATAAAGAAAAAGAGACACTGCAGAAATCGTGCGGCGCGCTCGCAGGCGGCTTGCCGTTCTGCGGAGAGAGATCGAGCCATTTGAGATAAAACCTGGTTAAATTAAGTCGATCCTCTCAAATTTAACCTGTAACTTTAACCTTTAACTCAGTAAGACATTAATACAAGCTATGCAACTAGCAGACGACGGAAAACTACACACAACTCCTCTTTGAGACATAGGCCTGAGCAGTAGGACAGCTGTCTGTTTACGGTTGTTTTCGTGCAGCGGTCGGGATTCGGGAATTGGTGTATTTACTTCACCAGCAGAAGTCGCAAATTGTCGTCCCCTGCTGGATGAAACTGTCGGGGTCTAAGTTAACATGTTCGGCAGGCCACAACATGTACTCATGTTGTCCCGAGCCTCTAGATTTACGGATAGACAGCAAGAAGAGAGTACGGGAAGATGACAGCTCTCAGATTTACTACAAAGGTAGTGAGACAGGGTTCTTTTTCTACACGCGAACGAACACGGCTTTGTTAAGTTAACCGTAGCGACATTCAAGCAGGAAGTATGTCATTATTTCGTCGAGTTGCGGAAAGTGGTCGCCACGTTAGGGTCACCTTCCCAACCACTGTATCTGTATCCGCCATCCTTTTGTGGGGTGCAATTTTTCGTTATTTAAAGCCCCACCCTGGCTTCTGCCGGAGGCCCTGAATATAGCCGGGGCATAGATATGGCCCAACGGCTGAAAGGTGTTTCTGGGACCTCTCCACGGGTGACCCTCATCCACATGGAGGCACTTTGTGTCACCGGGTGTTTAATGCTTGTGTAATGTCCTGGTTGAGTAAAAAGTCAGTCAGTCACTTTTCCAATTTTTATTTCACTCCCCGTGTGGGTTCTAGGGCCTCAGTTGGATAGGGGGCGTGGTAAAGAATAGGGTTACTGCCAGCATGTCCTAAGAGGCGACTAATTAGGAGTTTGCTGAAATTGGATACACCCGACCGAAAGGCACACATGTCATTGCAGCGCACCTGTAAACTGTAACATAGCGTGCCAGCCATCCTCTAAAAGGCAGACACATTCTGTTTTTGAATGATAATTTTTTTTTCTTTTAACAAAACACAGTTTTATTGCATGCTTCTGGTGTTGGTTACTTAGAAAAATTTTTGATCTGACTACTGAGAAAAGTCTGAAAGCACACATTTATGACTTAGGAACTTTAGTGATATTAACTCTTTGAGTCCTAGAGGATTAGCATCGGAGGTCGAGGGGGTGGAAATGGATTTATTTTAATTTCACACGTGTAACGTAACACATTAAAACAGACCATACTAATTCAATTGCTATGCAACATACACATATTATACATCAAAGTGACCAGGGATTGTTGAGAAATAATTATAAAATACAGGCTACAACAAATAATTGTTTTAGAATTAAATATTAGTAAATGAACAGACAGTATGTTTACTGTGTAAAATAAAAATTTCCACTTTCCACCACAGCACTCAAGAAAAACTGGTTAAAATATATATAAAATGAATATGAACCACTTACTAAATGGCATCCGTCAGTCCTGGGGGATATGGAGATGTGCCGCTGGCTTTGGGAACAGCATCTGCTGTGACTGTAAAGTCCGATTTGGGAATGGCAGCCTTTGCCACACAGGATACACACAAAAGCAGATACTTCCTCGTTATGAGACAGTTTTACTCTCCGGTGTCTCCTCTCCACAGCTCGTTGTGTTCGGTTTCTTTCAAAATGTGACAGTCCGTCTTTAACTTTCTGTCTCCATAGTAGTAGATCTGCAGCTGATTTTTCCCATGTCTCTGTGCCTGTGTTGGTATCTATTAGGTCACGTTTGCATACATCTTTATAGCGCAGCTTTGGCCTTCCTGTAGGTCTATTCCCAGTTACCAATTCACCATATAGGAGATCTTTTGGAATACGACCATCCTCCTAATGTAAAGGTAAAATATAAACTCAATCTATACATTAGATTTTGTTCCAGAGAATCTTTTGAAGCACCATTATTTTGTAAAGAAAACTGACTCCCAAAATAATAAGTATCTTCGCACAAGAAAGTTTATATAACACTCAGTTTGCTGTAATCTTGTAGCTATGTTCCTAAATAAAAAGGAAAATAGCATTAGAACTAACTGACACTGAAGAAAATTGTCTTTCCACTAATGTTTATTCATGCCAGCTGATTTGCTATCGTTGTACCCTTTCCGTGAGGTACACATTAGACATATCCCTCATGAAAGTTTAACTCTATAAATGACTGAAACACGTCTAATTCACAACGTTAGCTATCTAACTTCGGATAAATCTAAAAAACACGTACTTTATTTAAATGTGAGGCTTCTAAAGCCATAAATCGTGTTGGCATGCATGTAGAATACTGCTTGGCGGCCATATTCTTTTCAAACAAACACTTAGTAACTCCGCAAACATCACAAATATAAATTTTCAGCTTTAAAACCATGTTTTTTAATGAGCACGCCTGATATCAGACACAAAGAACATGTTTTATTTCTGGTCAGTGGTAGATTAAAAACCTTCACCTGTTATGCTTTGATTCGGCCGCCCTGTTGTAACAAATAAGCGCATGGTGCATTCCCTGGGACTCGAAGAGTTAAAAACATACCCTAACAGAGCCTCAGTGGTATGTAAGATTAATTTCTGGCAAATATAGCAGGCAGACCATCAGTTACGACACAGAGTCATGTTATACTGACTGGTGGTGTGGCGGCTGTAGATGTTCTGTGCCTTATTGTTAGGTGTAGGGTTAGGGTTATTTATATTTCAGTTACTAATTTCAGTAGTTATACTAGATAACCAATAATTCCTCTGAATTATGACGGCAATGTATCTAGGTCAAAATCCTGCCCATACAGGGCCTCAGATGATCATTGAGGCCCTGTTAGGGTATGTTTTTAACCATCATAATTTAAACCCGTTATTCAGAACAGTGCCCAACATCTTTGTGAGACTGGAGAGATTAGTGGAAAGAGATAGAGAAAGACAACAAGAGAAGATTTGGAACAGCCTTTTGTCATGACTTGGAAAGGTGTCAGCACATGAAATGATACACTTGTTTTCACAAAGAACAGTCATGGACATTCTGTGTGGTTTTCAGATAGATCATTATGGTCTAAAGTGAAGGGTACTGTGAGGAGTTACCAGGGAATCTGGCTGACGTTCAACACTTAGGGGAAGGTTGAGATGGATATACAATCAGATGGTTACTGGTACCATCGGAATTTGAACTCTTTGCTTGCTGTTGAAGATGGGGACTAAGCACTTATGGAAGTGTCCCGAGAACTGTGATGCCGATTTTTTAATCAGCATTTTTTTTGGGTAGGTTTTTTTTTGGCACTGTTTGCTGAGAGGTTGGATTTGTGATTATTTGATTACCTTAATTGTTGAGTTCTGAACTCTATAAGTTTGTCTGTTCTTTCCCCAGATGGTTATGGAAGTTATTCAACTGAATGTGCCTCATATCCCCAATTCTTTCCTAGTGGAAATTGCTCATTGGCCCCATGTACAGTTAAACAAAGTTTGGACCTGCAGCATCTGTCCATCAGACAGGGATCACCAATCTCAGATGAAGGTTTTGATGAGCCAAGTATACCTGAAGAAACACTGCCACGGTTTTTAAACATCCAGGTGAGTTTTAGATTCAGTTCTTTTATTATACTTGTATGTTGTTGCCTGGCTGAATGCTTGGAACACTTGGTTCTCAAGTGGAGAAGCTACTGGCTGATCAGTTAACTCTTTGAGTCCCAGGGGGTTTAGCATCACAGGCCTAGAGGGTAGTAAATAGAGTTATAGAATCGGCGCATCATGTGTTCATTGGGCTTCTAGGTAGGAACCTATGAACGTATGATGCGTTCCTTGGGACTCAATGAGTTAAGAATGCTAGGCTCTCATGAGGGAGACCCTGATTCAGATCATTGGTAACGTCATAGCCAAAATAAAATCTTAACCTGCACAGTCCTTGGCGACAGCACTACCCATGCGGCCTTAAATCCTCAGGCTCAAATACTCTCCCCCCCCCCCCCCCCCCGGACACCGCAAAAATGATAAATGCAGGCAGTAATTGGCAGGCACCTTTCTGTCTTTCCAGATATCATTGTTCCTATCACTTGTATGTGAGGTGGTTCTTAGCAGACACTCAACTCTTTACCTGTCTTTAGTCTCTTTTCCTTTCTTCTTATTCCCTTTATGTTAGGCAAACAAGATGGTTTTGTTTGAGACACATTTTCAGTAAATGCTCTGTCCCCATCTTCAGCAGCAAACACAGAGTTCCAATCCTGATGGTACCAATAACAGTCTGATTGTATATCCGTCTCACCTTTTCCATGAGTATTGATCATTGACCAGATTGCCTAGACACTACTTGTACGACCATTTTCCTAGTGATGATCCATCTGTGCTTCAGCATTGTTTATTCCCCCAAAGGACCTTTACAACATCTTGTTTGTCATGCAACAGTCACCACTGAGTTGTGCAGAACCAGCCAGTCTCTCTGCCTCTTCATTCCTAACAACACTGGTGTGTCCTAAAAAAAATATCCGAATGATGTTAACTACCCTGGACCTCTGAGGTGATCCTTGCTACTCTTCATGGAGCATTGAGAGTTCTGAGTTATTGAGGCACTAATTTCTTTTGTGTGTGTGTTGGCCTCACTGTAGGGAAAACAAGAATAGACCCAGTGCCTTGGGGACTTCCTTTGAAGTCAGAATGCATCTGCCCAAGGGGCAGAGAACCAACAGCCTACATATATAAATAAGTCAGATCTGTAAAATGGATGTAGATGCAATGCTCAGTTTCTCGAAGCAGACTAAAAGGCAGAAGTTGGCGGATAACAGGAACATTCTGCTGGAGTTTACAGCTTATGAATGCAAAGAAGAAGAAGAAGAAGAGCACTAATGTGCCACAGTCAGTGTTTACACCTACAAGTGCTTCTCTTTGCCTTAGTGTCGGATATCCTGGGTAGATACTTGTCTGGCTAAGAGATCATTGAACTCTTTCAGTCCCCAGAAGTTGTTAACTCAGCTCTTTCTGTCCCAGAAGTTGATCTTGCAGTCATTAAATTCTTAGTTCTGATGGAGTTTAACTCTTTCAGGACGGCATTTTTTTCTGTGGGCTTAGACTGAACTAATTTGAGCTGAATTTTGTTTACTGCAAAATGACAAAGCTCAAACTTTCCTGAAGAAAAAGTATTGGCTCTAAAGTGACATATAATGTATCAAATTAAAGAGAAATGAATACAGAATGCATCTAAACTATTTAAGGATCTGTATTGCAACAACAAAATATTAAAATAACACCACATTCAAGGATTAGACACACAAAAAGATTTTTGATACATCAAGTTTTGCATTCATTTTACTTTTTACTTGATCAGCATTACTGCTATCCATTTCTAAGAATTCACATATCTTCTCTATTCAGCTTTGCATCTAGTCTTTATTTGAGAAAAATTGAGCTAAATACTTTGCTTTTTATGACCATTTATGTAAGGCATGCCAAATTTCAGAACAACCTGATTAAAACATATTTATATTATATTTTTTTATGAGGTTATTCCAGTGATAATTCAGAGTTTTGTTGTTTGTCCAACAATGATGTTCCGACAAATAATTTATTTCACTAATTCTAGTTTTTTATAAAACAGGTTCGTACAGATTCATTTTCCTATTAAACAAAACAATATTAGAGTGTCTGTTTCAGCAATCACTTAATCCGCCTGGGTTTATGAATGTGCTTGTAATGAACGTATTGCTTTCTTACTGCTTGATACAGGGATCTACAGTAATGTGGATCTACAGTAATGTTTTCCCAAAATTACATTTGTGGTTTTGTGTGATAAACAAGAAATTTCAATTATTGTTCACAGCAGTATACAGATTCCGACAGAGACTCACATAGCTGTCGCAGCATCTCTTCGAGCCCTAAAGACAGGAGGACAATAGGCGGGGAAGTAGTGCCATCTCATGAGAAAGAAAGGAGAAAACCAGGTCGTAAACCAGGACAAGGTATTATTTTTGTTGCAAAGTTGAATATTGCAGTGCAGACCACTCAAGGAGATTTCGGATGTGGCAGATTTCTGTTGTCAAGAACAGATTGTTTATCTCTGGCAGTTTTGTTCTTTGTCTTTTGGAGAAAAAAAACGCTCTGTTGAGCTGAATCCGTTTATCACGAATTAGCATATTTACGGAACAATTAAACATATCCCGACTGCATAATTAGATTTGCTTTAGCAAACCCTTTTTAGATAACTGGTATTTTTGTTACAGATTTTTAGCTATTTTAGGAAAGTTCACATTTCGTTCAATGTTATTTCCTCTCTTTAAAAAAAAACTATGTAGACCATTGTGCTACAGTCAAGACCATTATGCGTGACCACAAAGGCACTAATACTATGGATCAAGCGGTAATAACCTCAGTTAAAAAACCCTAAACCTAAGATGGGCCTGCATGCTGAATGACTGTAGAATATGCAGTCACAAGCATAGTAGTCTGGTTTGCGAGAGGGGCTGCCGGGCATATGGACACTGGTTCAGGACATCCTCTGTCTCTTTCCTAGCAAGTAGGGGATACTTAGTGAATGTTAACTTCCTACATTTAAAAAACACAAAAAAAAAGTTTTCTGTCGATTTTTTACTTGAAAATCAAAAAGAATAGTAGCTGGAGCCACAGATTGCTTGCTGCTTGCTAGATATCGTCTTCAGCTGGCAACAGAGAGTGAGAAGAGGAGAAGACGTGGAAATGGAGAGAAAAGAACAGATAAAAAAGGTTGTAAATGTAAATGTCAATTGTAAATAGGTTGTAATATGTTTGAAATCTGTATAAGAGGAATTTCTAATAAGAAGAACTATTTCTTGGGTTCCTGGTGAGTTCTGTGAATCAAATCTGTACTGTATTGCTAATTATTGAAGAACATACTCTCCGTTTGGGTTCCGGGGCCCCATTTTAAAGGGATAAAGAATAAACCTACGGCCTCGCTAGCAAGCGTGTCTCATGTCATAAAAGCTGACAAATGAGGAGTTTGCTGACACCAGATATGTTGAGCTGAAAGACGCACATGTCGCAGCCATGCTGTCAAACACATCCCAATAGGCCAACTGTCCTTTTGAGGGCAGATGTAGAAGAGGAAAACAACAATGTATAAAAAGAGAATCTTCAATAGTTACACAAGTGAGAGATAAAAGAGAGGGATATTTTACTGCATTGGCACTTTGGGCATTTTGTGCTAGAGACTCATATTTTAAACTCCTTCTGGTCCGGGCTCACTCCCAGTGGGTAGGCAGAAAAGCCACTTTTCTCCCAGATTTACGGTATCTATCATGGAATCAAGGTTGAAGGGTTGCAATATCCATAGTACTAAGCCAAAGGGTTAACAACTCATGGTTTTTGGATATTTAAAAAAAAAAAAATACCATTCAGCACTCGATGTGGTCGTCGTCATGCTAGTTGCCTTTACTTCCCAGGAATTTACCTGGTACCCATTTTTTTTTACTGTCGACCTCCCCAAATCCACCTGGTGCAGATTTTAAGCAAAATCTTGCAGGCCAAAGGTATCTAAATATTGTTAAATATGTTTTGTATTCCTCTAGTATCTAATGTTCTCCTTTGTATTCCTCTAGTGTCTAATGTTCTCCTGTGTATTCCTCTAGTGTCTAATGTTCTCCTTTGTATTCCTCTAGTGTCTAATGTTCTCCTTTGTATTCCTCTAGTGTCTAATGTTCTCCTGTGTATTCCTCTAGTGTCTAATGTTCTCCTTTGTATTCCTCTAGTGTCTAATGTTCTCCTTTGTATTCCTCTAGTGTCTAATGTTCTCCTTTGTAGTGTCTAATGTTCTCCTTTGTATTCCTCTAGTGTCTAATGTTCTCCTTTGTATTCCTCTAGTGTCTAATGTTCTCCCTTGTATTCCTCTAGTGTCTAATGTTCTCCCTTGTATTCCTCTAGTGTCTAATGTTCTCCTTTGTATTCCTCTAGTGTCTAATGTTCTCCTTTGTATTCCTCTAGTGTCTTATGTTCTCACTTGTATTCTAATGTTTCTATTCCTCTAGTGTCTAATGTTCTCCTCTAGTGTATTCCTCTAGTGTCTAATGTTTTCCTTTGTATTCCTCTAGTGTCTAATGTTCTCCCTTGTATTTCTAGTGTCTCTAGTGTCCTATTCCTCTAGTGTCTAATGTTCTCCTTTTGTATTCCTCTAGTGTCTAATGTTCTCCTCCTCTAGTGTCTAATGTTCTCCTCTATTCCTCTAGTGTCTAATGTTTTCTTTGTATTCCTAGTGTATGTTCTCCTTTGTATTCCTCTAGTGTCTAATGTTCTCCCTTGTATTCCTCTAGTGTCTAATGTTCTCCTTGTATTCCTCTAGTGTCTAATGTTTCCTTTGTATTCCTCTAGTGTCTAGTGTCTAATGTTCTCCTTTGTATTCCTCTAGTGTCTAATGTGTATCCTCTAGTGTCTAAGTATCCTCATCCTCTAGTGTCTAATGTTCTCCTTTGTATTCCTCTAGTGTCTAATGTTATCCTTTGTATTCCTCTAGTGTCTAATGTTCTCCTTTCTATTCCTTGTATTCCTCTAGTGTCTATCCCTTTGTATTTCTATAGTGTTAATGTTATCCTTTGTATTCCTCTAGTGTCTAATGTTTTCTCCTTTGTATTCCTCTAGTGTCTAATGTTCTCCTTTGTATTCCTCGAGTGTCTAATGTTCTCCTTTGTATTCCTCTAGTGTATAATGTTCTCCTTTGTATTCCCCGAGTGTCTAATGTTCTCCTTTGTATTCCTCTAGTGTCTAATGTTCTTCATCTGTGGGAGTTCATGAGAGACCTTTTGCACACTGCAGATGGCAGGGGAATTATTGAGTGGATCTCCAGACAAGATGGTGTCTTCAGGGTGGTCAACTCATCTGAAGTTGCTCGTTTGTGGGGTGAGAAGAAGAAGAACAAGAAACAGATGACGTATGAAAAACTCAGTAGATCACTAAGGTATTTGTGAATGTTTGTTTCTGAATTTGTTTCAGTTGAAATCTGTAAAGCTAAAATATTTATTTAGTTTTATTTTGTGTGACTGTTATTAGAAAGTTGGTGTCTGTCACTGAAAACCTTGTCAGTAGAAGCATAGTTTCTGTACTATTATATTATCAAAGTTGACTTCACTTCATATTCAGTTCTTTAATTACGTTTTTTTCAGCATTCATCTGGAAAATACCATATTTGTCCATGAATAAGATGCATAAAATGACCGTTATATTTTTAGCCCAAAAACAAGAAATGAATATTGTAATCACATTCTATATATATATTTTTAAATATCCAGAAACCATGAGTTGTTAACCATTTGGCTTGGTACCATACTACTTTGGCTTTGATTCCATGAGAGATAATGTAAATCTGGGAGAAATGTGGATTTTCTGCCTACCATCTGGGCGTGAACCCGGACCACAAGGAGTTCATCACCCGGGCGCCATGCAGTCAGGTTTAACCAACTGAGCTAGCGAAACAGGCTATTCTGTATTTAAGATAACCCCCAATTTTTAAACTTAGAGAAAGTTTTGACAATCAGATTTTGTTATACACAAAAAATATGGTAATTATATTATGCCCGTAATTGCTGTTTCTTTTGTTTAAGCCTTCCACTCGGAGGCACCAGTATTTCAGCATTGCCCTCAAATACAAAGCCCACAGTAACCTCTCTTTCAGTATTACTGCCTTGACCAGGCCTTGCTTTGCCTGTATATCAGCTTTGGAACTCTTTGCTCCTAGGCAATGTTTAGAAGGGCCTGATATGATTATATTACCTAAAAATAATCTTGGGGGAAAGGGGTCTTGTGAAAAAAAAAAAAGGCTTTTTTAGTCATTTTATAGTCATAATTTCTTTTGAGCCTATAGCAGTCGCATAGTAACAGGATCCCGGTTTGACTCACTTGATAAATTATTGAGGCCTAAGGAAATATAATCATTAAATTCTCCACTTGTGTGTATTTATTGATTACTCCTTCATACATTTATTTAACACATTAGAAAATGAATATAAATCAGTTTAAAACAAATTATCAATGACCTGTGTAAAATGGTTTCTTTAAGGTTTTTATGGTTGTGGGAGGGGGTGGGGGCTTTGTTTCCCCAAGGGTTTGTTGGTTGAAAGAGTAAGTGACAAATTTAGAATGGTTATGCTTATCTGCATATCATAGTATATATACCCACCCACACTGGACTAGCATGTTACGTTGCAGCCATTTTGTGGTGCTCCAATACAACTGGGCTGTATGGCTATATATCAGATTCTGTGGCTTAGGCATTGCGAACCCTCTTCGCCATACTGGGGTGCCAGGTTTGATCCCAGCTGCAGACCATTTGGCAGCAAACTGTCTTGCGTTGGTTTCAACAGTGATATCAAGAGCCGACCAACGACAAACTGCTGAATGTAAAATTGCCTAGAAAATCCACAACAGCCAAACAATTATGGGGTTTGGTTCTGAACGTCATTCAAGGGATATGCAACTAACTTACATATATATTTATTTTTAAGAGGCTTGAATGTACAATTCGAATTTGAATGATATGGCAATGTTTAATGCTGTTACAGTTAGTAGACAAAAATAATTCAGCAGGTATGTTTACTAAAACAACATTTTGCAAGATAATTCAGTGAATATCCAAATTTGAGAATAACACTTTAAAGTTTCTTCATTTTCCTAACAAATTCAGAAGTTCTAAGTTACTAGGTTTACTTCTTTGAAACAGTCCTTTGGGTGTAAATGTGGTTGACTGTCACAACCTTTGCAGATGAAATTGGTACTCCATGTCAAACTCATCAGAACTGCCCTGCGTGCCTAGTTTTTGACCCTTCGAAAATAAAATTTGTTCGTCTGCTCATTCATGTTCAGCATACCCAGCAGGAGTTGATTGGCCTGTACAAGCGGTGAAACTAATTGGTTGAAACAGGTGTATCATTAAGTAATTAGTAATGTTTACATACAAAATCTAATGTTGATAATATGGTGTTCTCATTTTATTTTTGTTTTCTTCTTCAGGTATTCAAGATTGGAAGGTTACTTCGCAGACCTTCCTAAAGACAAAAACTACCCTAAAAAACTCTGTTTCAAGTTTGGATCAAAAGCAAAAAATTGGCGGTAGCAATAATATAGAATATGAAAATTGGAATGTGTGGGAATCTTGAATGTGGTGATGTGTGCAGCATCAGGATTGCCTAAATAGTATCCTGTCAGTTGATGCATGTTTGTGCAAGTTTTGCTATGATTTTCACATTGTTTGAAATACCAGATCCTGCCTCAGTTAATGTGCTTCATGTGTATGCAGACCAGTGATATGCTTAATCATTTTTATTGTGAGTCATTTGAATCTAGGAAGTAAAGGTGGTCAACTTGATGTTGAGCACCTCAGCCATCGAGTGCTGATCAGTCTACGGAGACATGAGTCTGTCATCTCATTTATTTTTCCTTCCTCAGGTATTTATGATTAGAAGGCTACTCCGCATAACGACAAAATCAGTTTTTCTGTGGTTTCACCTTGTTTGAAATACCAATTCCTGCCTTAGTTAATGTGCTTCATGTTTATGCAGATAATGATAATTTTATTATGAGGCGTGTGTGTCATCAGGGAAGCAAAAGCGGGCGGTGTGATGTTGACCGCATTAACCATTGAATGCTGTTAGGTCTACAGAGATGTCAGTCTTGTCTTCATGTTACTGATATGCCTGTGGGGTGAAAAAGCTCCTTTACATTTTTATACAAATGATCGTGGGTATGTATATTGCTGCAACTGATTAGTAAAAAGTAAACTGCATGCCTTAAAAAAAAATAAGAAAAAACATAACCATAGCACATTTTTATCCTGTTTGCTTTAAAAAATAAAAAATATTTACAGCATTCATTTGGCTTTATATTACTCAGGGAGGTTAAAAAAAAAAAACCCATCAGATGAAATTCAGAGAATCAAAACATAAAGTTATCAGATTAAAAGGAAATAAATTAACAAATAAAATAAATTCAGATAGTCATAGCACAACAGCTTATAGACTGTTACATAATAAACAAACAAACAAAAACTTATCATAACATATCGTAATCAAGTTATCAAGAAATAGAAGAACGGTTTTTTAAGAACAGTGAGGTCACACGGGCTTATTTGATATTTTAAATAACATAATATCAAATCATTGTTGTCATATTAGTTTATTTGACTGTCTGAAAGAAAACATGGAAAATCCAAGATACCACTATAATTGTGTCTTATATGATAATCATAGTACATTTTTGTTACATTAGGTTCATTTGACTGTCAGAATAATGAAGAAAAAGCCATAGATAATCATAGAAACTGTATTATATTGACATTATTTTGTTCTAGGATTTTAAAAAAAACACACTTGATAATCATAGATATTGCTATAATATTTGCTTAGTGTATACGGTCATATTTAAAAAAAAATGACCACATGATTATAGCACATTGTTGTTAGATAAACAAAAATAATATTGGCATCTTATATTCTGTCACCCCCGTGTGGGTTTCAGGGCCCAGTTTGGTGGAGGGGGGGGGGGGATTGACCCACTACACTCCTGATAAGCATTTTATGTTGTGAAAGGTGACTCATTAAGGTGGTTTTCTTTGAAGTTGGAGTGTGTGCCTGCCTGAGAGGCAAGGAACTAACAGTCTGCATTCAAATAAGCCAGATTTGTAAGTAAAAACTGATGTGTCACAAAACTCAACTTCTGGAGCAAGACCAAAGCCCAGAAGTAGATGAACAACCAGAACTGTCAGCCAGAATTTACAGCCGGTAAATGCAAAGGAGATAAGCAGAAGATACTCTGTAAGGTTTGGAAAAAAAAAAAAAAAAGATTCCATGTACAATATTGTCACACTAGCTTTATTTGAGTCTGTCAGCTGTCTCAGTGAGGGCACTGCCAGATGCCATATTTACTTGCATCGTGTACATAAGCAGAATTACTTTACCTGAGCCTTGTTATGTTGATGATTCTGTGAATATATAAACATTACTGTGTTACTATTATATAAATGCTATATATTATCTGTTGCTTTGAAGGTCCTGAGTAATTGGCCCCCTTTGAATGTGAATGTGCCTATAAATAAGTGTGCTGGGAACTGAACAGGCAAACATATTGGCTGGTTCTACACCATTTGATAGTAAATTGATGGCAGACAAGCTATATGTTGTCAAGACCTTATAGAAGCTAGTGAACAGTTAGTTGTTAGTTAGTTAGTTAGTTACTTACTTAGTCTTTCCTCCTGAGCCTAGGGTGGCGATAGGGCAGAGGTCATACCTCTTGATGTCAGGCAGAGGTCATACCTCTTCATGTTGGGCAGAGGTCATACCTCTTCATGTCAGGCAGAGGTCATACCTCTTCAAGTCAGGCAGAGGTCATACCTCTTCATGTCAGGCAGAGGTCATACCTCTTCATGTCAGGCAGAGGTCATACCTCTTCATGTCAGGCAGAAATCATACCTCTTTTTGTCAGGCAGAGGTCATACCTCTTTTTGTCAGGCAGAGGTCATACCTCTTTTTGTCAGGCAGAGGTCATACCTCTTCATGTCAGGCAGAAGTCATACCTCTTCAAGTCAGGCAGAGGGCAGTTCGTTGCCACTTACTTTAGGTCTTGAATGTTAGTAAGGCCCTGGTTGAGCCTTCCCTGATAATAATTCTACATAGCCTCTCTTGGTGTTCCACGTTTTCTTTTCCCTTCCTGTGTCCATGTGAGGGCTTGATGGGGAAGTGATGTCCTTAAAATTGAACAAGTTTGAACATAGCATCATAACATTTAGAGCTAGAAAGTCTGATCCTTAAACGAAGGGTCTTTTATGATGGTGACTTCTCAGGCCGTCGATCAGCAGTCTTAAGCCAAACTAGAAGGAATTAGGTCCCGCCATCTTGACCTGAACCAGAAACAGTGAACAGTGCAGAAGCACAAATAGATCATCATGATTTGAAGAGTATGGTGCAGTTGGGAGTGGCAAGGAGATTAGGCCAACACTCAGAGGAAAGACAAGACATAACAATCAGACTACTGCTGGTATCGCAGGAATTGGTTATCAGTGCTGACTGCTGAAGGTAAAGATAGGGTTGTAATAAGAGTGTTCTTCAAAACTGTTAAAAAGAGAGCTGGTCCCTTGGTTGCATAATGTAGTGATCTCACCAACATCCTGTGCCCTGATCGTGTGCCTCGATACTTTTAAAAAGAGAGCTGGTCACTTGGTCACATAATGTAGTGACCTCACCATCATCATGTGCCATGAGAATGTCCCTGGATACTGTTAAAAGGAAAGCTGGTCACTTGATCACATAGTGACCTCACCATCGTCATGTGCCATGTTATGTGCCAGTGGTCGTGGTTCTAGAATCACAGACCAGGTCTGTGTTCTTGTCCCACCTATGCCATATTGCCTTTGTCTCTTTGTCTTCTTCAGGACCTGGTGGTAGTGTTCACATCCATGCAGATTATTCCATTGTAGACACACCCCTAAAGTTTATTTCCCCCATGAAACAGGATAGTATTGTTCACATTCACACACTTTATGTTTCTCTTGTACACTCCGAGACATGGCAGTGTAGATCCAGTGTACATATCTTCTATGGATTCTTACAGTTTATTCCAGTATTCACATCTCTACAGTTTGCATTTACTCTGTGGCCTTTAAGGCATAGAGGCAGTGTGTTCACATCCATATAGTTTGTTATTTCCTCTAGACTTCTAGTCTTCACTAGATTGCATTGTTCACATACATCCATTGTATATTTCTCCTGTGGACGCTTAGAGATTTTTCCAAGTGTTTTCATCTATATGGTTTATACTTCCTCTGTATAGGGTGACCTAACTAAAAAGAACGATACTGTCCCGGCGATACGGTCTATATGCCTCCGTGGGCTCCTAGATACGATAGCAGTGTTCACACCCATGCATTTTCTATTTTGAATGTGGGCTCCTAGATATGGTAGCAGTGTTCACACCCATGCATATTTCCAGTGTGAGCTCCTAGATATGGTAGCATTGTTCCCACCCATACATATTTCCAGTGTGAGCTCCTAGATATGGTAGCATTGTTCCCACCCATGAATATTTCCAGTGTGAGCTCCTAGATATGGTAGCATTGTTCCCACCCATACATATTTCCAGTGTGAGCTCCTAGATATGGTAGCAGTGTTCACACCCATGCATATTTCCAGTGTGAGCTCCTAGATATGGTAGCATTGTTCCCACCCATACATATTTCCAGTGTGAGCTCCTAGATATGGTAGCAGTGTTCACACCCATACATTTATGTTTCCTCCATTGGTGCCTAGATACGAAAACAGTGTTTGCTTCAGTAAAATTTATATTTCCTCTATGGACTCCTACATATGTTGGCAGGGTTCGCATCCGTACATTTTATATTTCCACCACTGGTACCTTGATACGATAGTAGTGTTCGCATCCATACATGTTATATTTTCTCCATTGGTACTTAGATACGTTAGCATAGATATGTTAGCAGTCTTCACATCCATTCATTTCATATTTTTCTCAGTGGGCTCCTAGATATGATAGCAGTGTTCACATAGATCCAGTGTCTCTGGATTCATAGGGATTTTTCCAATGTTTACATCCATGTGGTTTATATGTTTCTTCCTCTTTGCGTTTACCAACTGTAAACTATGACAGACAGTTCTTGACCTTGGTCTTGTTCCAGAACCTGAGTTTTGCATGCATAGCTGTTTTACAGATCTGGCTTGCTTGTATGCAGGCTATTAATTTCTCTCCTCTCAGGCAGATGAACTCCAAGTTTGAATGAAAACCCGTAATTAGTCGCCTTCCTTTTACGACTCTGTGGGGGTCTGTTCTTTATTTCCCCTACCCCCCTCCCCCCAAATCCCCTGCATTGGGCCCTCATAATCTACATACAGAGTTTATGTGGTGGTTGTTGAATCTTGCTGTTTTCTGCCTGTGATAAAATTAGTTATCGATCTCTTTTTGTTATCAGTTGTCATTTAATACCAGAAATAGTTATAGTCCAAGATATAATAATGAAGGACTTATGAAAGCAGTAATTAAAGAAAATGGAAAAGAGAGACTTGAAGAACATTTTTCATTATTTTATAAGATACAAGGGATTATTTTAAC